AACCCACCAGCCACTCCTCGGAAGGAAGGTTGGGCAATCCTACTTCCGTAGTGATACTGCCTCGGAAACCCAAGGAGGGGTCGCTATGAGTTGGGTTTGACTCGACAGCACATAACAGCAACAACAACATGCTAAGAGCAATTATGAACTTAGGAGATCTATATATATATATATACACACATATATGTATATATGTTTATATACATATTAGATGGAACTTTAAACACTTGAATAAATATGTATGTTGTTTTACATTAAAATACTGAAAAAGTCATTTCAATAAATATCTTACTGATTTCAGGATTTCTGATCTCCTTTTTGATTGAAGAACATTAATCTATGGGAAAACACACTTTGTTAATCACTCATGCATTATTTGAAAAATGAATCCATCATGCAGTATTATAAAAATTGCTTATTTTAATGGTTTAACACTTTCCTGAAGAGCAAAGAAAAACAAAGTTCAAGTTTTTTCATGCTTCAAACCCTCTTTTTCACAAACACTGTTAAGATGAGCCCATCAATAAAATTCTCATCTGTACCTATCTATTTTACAACCACTAACTACGTGACTGCTAACCAGAAGGCTGGCAGTTCAAACCCACCAGCCACTCCTCAGAAGGCAGGTTGGGTGATCTACTTCTGTAGTGATAACGCCTTGGAAACCCAAGGAGGGGTCGCTATGAGTTGGGCCGACTTGATGGCACATAACAACAATAACTAGAGGTTAGGGAGCTCTGGTGGTGTAGTGCCTAAGGCATTTGACTGCTAACAGCTACAATCTAGGAATAGATAAGAAATACAAACAATTACAATAAATGTGGTAAGTGGTCTAATAGCAATGTTTATAACAATACCATGGAAGCACAGAAGAGTCAAATGCAAAGAAAAACTGGCCATTTAAATTTTAACGCTGTAGTGACAAACCACTTTTAAATCTGAGCTTCTAAGAATTCCATCTCTTCCTTATCATCCTATTTAATTGCTCATCAAGATGCTTCAAAATACATTCTTAACAAAACAATTTTTCAAATCTTTTAGTACCACCACCAACCCCCATCCTATCTTTTCTGGACTGTTGCAACAGTCTGTGAATTGGATTCTATTTCTAAACTTGACCCCTATAATTCATTCTCCGCACAGGAACCAAAGGGACCTTTTTCTTTCTTTCTTTCTTTCTTTCTTTCTTCCTTCCTTCCTTCCTTCCTCTTTCCCTTCTTTCTCCCTCCCTACATCCTTCCCTTTCTTTCTTTCTTCCTTCCTTCTTCCCTTCCTCTCCTTCCTTCCTTTTTTTCTTCCTCTCTCCTTTTCCTTCCTTCCTTCCTTCTCTCGCTTCTTTTTCTCTATTTCCCTCTCTCTTTCCTTCCTTCTTTAAGTTTTTACTGTGATTTGAGTGAAAGTTTACAGAGCAAATTCATTTTCCATACAGCAGTTCATACACATTTTGTTTCATGACATTGACTGCTATTCACCACAATACAGCTCTCTTCCCTATGTCCTTCTTTCCTATGCATTCCTGCTCCCTGAGCTACCTCCCCGTGCAAATACTGACCTTCTGTTCTCCCATGATTGATTGTTCTAAGGGGTGTGTTCTGGTTACCTAGCACCAGCCAAGTTGACACACAAACTTAACTATCACAGTGTATCCACCTGGTGTAAATGCTCACCGTATATGCCTGTCTATTGTTTGCCTAGAAGTCACAGAAGTGAGTTCAATCCCAGGCCTGAAAGGTAAGTAGAAGCCATATTCTTGGGAGTTTCACCAGGCTCTACCAGACCAGTACACCTGGTCTTTGTTATGATTTTGAGTTTTGTTCCACATTGTTCTCCCACTCTATTCAGGATCTCCTGCACTGATCCCTTTTCCAAGTGGTTGACAGTGGTAACTGGGCACCATCTAGTTTCTTCTGGTCTCATGGTCATAGAGGCTGAGGTTGACATGGTCCACTAGTCCCCTGGACTAACTGTTTCCATGCATCTTTGGTTTTCTTCATTCATCTTTGCTCTGGATGAGGAGAGACCAACTGCTGCATCCAGATGGCTGCTTGCAAGCTTTTAAGACCCCAGGCACTACTTACTAAACTAGGATGTAGAACAATGTTTTTCTGTAGTATATTATGCCAGTTAAGCTTCATATCCCCTGCAACCGCAGTCCTGAGCCCAGAGGTACAACAACTCACTCCATCAGGATGGTTGACTGTGCCTAAGAAGCTATCACAACTTTGTCCCCTATTATTTCTATTTATATGGACATTTTTATGGCACCTACAAATATGTATGTAGAAATACTGTCTGCCAATCTTTTATAATGTCATGGGTATACTCCCCTTTGCCTAGACATATCTTTTTAAAATGTAATAAATAAGATCATGTTACTTCTAACTTAAAATCCTCTAATGGCTTCCCCTTAAACCTGGAATAAAATGGAAACTCCCTTCCATGGCCTGAAAAGCCCTTTCTAATGTGGCCCCTGTCTACCTCTCCAACATATTTTCCCCCACTTTCCTCCTTTCTCTCTGTGCTCCACCCACACCTTAAGCCGCTTCCTAATTCAAGGCCTTTCTACTAACTCTTCTGTCTATATGTCACACTCTTCGGCCAATACTGGCACAAGGTATGTATTACCAAGCCGATTTATCCTAAATACCATCTCCTCATCAAGGTCTAAAGCTCCAGAGGTACTCTCTAACACACCAGCTCTGTGTATTTTCTTCATAGTATTTGTCACTACCTGATATTTTCGTATTTATTTATATCTTCTCCCAAGCTAAAATATAAATTCCATGAAATCGGGGTCTTTTCCTTATTCCCAGTTGTATCCCCTACCTGGCACATGGTAAGCACTCCATAAATACTGTTCAACAACTTAATGAATCTTAAGCATTTTAATTAGACTAAATTTACCAAAAGATCAAAAAATTAAGAGATTTACCTTTTATGGAATGTCTCCCAACTCTTTAAGATTTTGTACCAAACATGTTATTTTTTGTTTTTTCTCTTATTATATTACAGCTTCAGGAAATAAAATGTTTATTCAAGAAAAGAATTATTCCTCTCTGCTAATATGATCAAGATTACAGAATATCTGCCTTTTTAATATAGTATTCCTATTGAAATCTTTGCATTTTGTTTTATAATTTTAAACCACTGACCAGAAAATAACAGAAAAAGACCAAGAAAATCTAAGTAATTTTGCTTAACTAAAGACTAGTTTCTTAAACATGTCTGTTTCAAGGCCTATTCAGTTTTGGGAAGTGGAATATATAACTTTCAGATACCCTAAGCAAAAGCAGAGGCTACAAATATTCTATTACTCAAATTCAGAAAAATGTTTAAAATGTTTTATGAGTCTTTTTTTATTTGGTAATGAAAAACAGAACTTAAAAAAGTAAACTGAAGTAGTTAGAGAAAGTAAATCATGACAAACTTCATATATTTGAATATTTATTAGTCACTATTTTCTATTATCTAAATTAGAAAGTTTGGCCATCAGAAGACAAGAATAGACACTTCACCAAGGAGGATATTCAAGCGGCCAACAAACATATGAAGGAATGCTCACGATCATTAGCTATTAGAGAGATGCAAATCAAAA